GCCCCCCACCTCCCTGATCCTGGCATGGTGGCAGTGCCAGCCAGTTCAGTGGGTGGGCTCTGGCGTCATTGCTGGTGCCCAGACTAAAGTGCCCTTCCCAAGATTGTATCAGGCACCTATACTTCTGTATTAATTTCCAGTTTTTGTGCCTCTGAGATGGGCTACATTCATCAATTCCTGATAATGCTAGAGGCACTTGTCACAGACGCCTTCAAGGGGTGCAGGTATGTGTGTGCTCAGCCCCTCTTCCCTTGGAACCACCCTCCCTAGAGTCACCCAAGCCACATTAGCCAGCACAGCTGAGTGACCATGGGCAGACACCTGACCTCTGGGTCGGCACCTGACCTCTGGGTCAATGGCATTTTTTTCTCTCGGGGCTCTGGAACTCAGATGTAATCCAAGTGATCTAAGTTAGGGAGACTAGAACCATCACAAGTCAGTCTGGGGCCAGTGGAGGCCACAGTCTGCTATATGCACCAACCATGAATTTGGGAAAGCCAGTCTGCAGCCAAGGAGCAGAACGAGACAGGCAGGGATGGAGAAATGAAGAGCCAGGAAGAGTCTCACGCCCACTGAGGCCCTGAGTCCAACACCCAATGAGTCCAGCCGTTTCTCTCCTCGTAGGAGCCACAACACACCCCATATCCTTTTTTCAGCTTAACAGTAACCCACAGCCTTCGGACCAACTCCCATATCCTTTTTTCAAAAGGTCCCTTTTCAGCTCAAGGTAGTTTGTAAAGGCTTCTGTTGCTGTCAGCCAAAGAGGCTTCAGGACTCAGCTCATGCCCAGTGCATGGTGGGTCCTGGGCTCCTTCATCTCCTCCATCTCCTACCTCAACTTTTACTGCACTGGCCTGGCTGCCAGGACATCATGGAGTGGATTCCAGGGCAGGTGGCCCAGATGCCTGTCTGCCTGGTTGAACCTGTCCCTTGGCCAAGCCCCTGCCTCTCTCTGGGCCTTAGTTTCCCACTTTGGAATAGAAGAAGGCTGGTCTAAAAATTTCCCAGATCC